TGGGGCCTTCCTGAGGCGAAGCCGAGACAGACTACAGGAGGGAGGAGGATTGTGGCCCAGGGCGCCCCCTGCTGGGAGACAGGGGGACGAAGCCTTAGGGCCTCCAGTCCGAACAAGTGAAGCTAAGCCCAGGACCAAACCCGCTTAGAGAAATCGAGGCCCCTAGCCTAATGCGCCTCCTATCGAAATAGAATGACACTGCGCTTCTTAGCCCCGCTCTCTTGAGTGAAATCTAACCCATCCACATCAAATCAACAAAAGTTCCAAGTGCGGGAGAACCTGAGTGGACTCAAGAGGAAGTTCAAGGAGTCCAGGTTTTACTGCTGATTCTTTGGCGCTGGCTCCCAGTTGACAAATCAACATCTCAATCTGACAATTAGTGGTCGAGGTGGGGGGGAGAGGGGCTCTTGCAGCCGGGGCGGCTGAGCCCTCCTGGCGCTAGGCAGAGAGGTGGGCGGTGCTGGCAGTGATGAACGACTCCAGGGGGGCCTGGGGCCCGGAGCGCGCATTCATTACTCCACTGACAGGCGGGCGGCGGGCCGGCCCGGGAGGCAAATGGACGTGCCAAGAAAGAGACTAGTGGCAGGAAGGGGAGTAAAGGAGCATTTAACAATCCCACTGTTCCCTCTGCTCCCGGTTCTTCGCCTTGACCCTAGTACTTGACTTCCTTGAACTCAGCCTCCCAGTTGTTGGAGCTGGCACTGGTTGAAGTATTAGTGAAGCAGGGTGAGGACCTAAAATCTCTCCCTAGGTTAAGCAATTTAAGGTCTCAAATGTCTAGAAAGGGTGTCGTCGGTCCTTAGGATTGGGCGTTTTGAACTGATTTTGGAGAAATTGTGATTGCACACTCAGAAATGTGTGTGTGGCAGGGATGGATAGGTATGGATCGCACATCTATATCAGTGACTGTGTATGTCATTGCTAGGGATGTGTTGGCCTGATTTTGTCAGTGAAGGTGTGAGCTTCGTGTTTCTGAGGATGAACCACCACCCCTCCTTGTGTGCCCCTCCCCAAGCTTGCTGTCAGTTCTGTCTCTAGTTCTGGAGGAAATGGCAGTGCACAGGGTGACAGCTGAGGTGTGCTGCTGAGGGGTATGTGATATATGTTAACTGTGAGAGTGCTGGTCAGAACAACTGCTCCCTTCCACCATCTCCACCACAAACATACCTTCCTCAAGCATTGAAAGTAGTAGTTTTTTTTTTTCCCCCAAAGTCTGGAGACCTAGTAGTTAAATCCTGAGAAGAAGTAATTACCATCAGAGTTCTTCATAGCCCTACACGTATTCACCCTCCCATAGAGTCTGATATAAGATGTGATCTCCAACCCATCCTGTCTCCCCCAGCTGGTGGTGGGAGAAGAGGAGGTGGGTGTTGAGTAGAAACCTGTATGATGCTCAGGAAGGGAAGAGGAAGACCCTTCAAATCTCCAAGACACCCTCCTTAGGACTTGGAGTAGCTACTGCTGAGACCCAAACATTTTGGATCTTAGGTCCAGTTAATTACTAGTTGGTTCCAAAATTCCTTTCCCATGATATTTCCCTTTCTTTGTCTGGTTTTGTTTACATTCTCTTTCCCAATTCTACCTCCCCAGTGTTGAATCTTCTGGACCTACAGAGCAGAGAATTGAGATGACTCTGGGTCTTTATCCCCTTGTTTTGTTCAGTGAGATCTTGAGGCATCTTCCCTTTGCCTTGCTGTTCCTTTGGGCTAGGTTATCTTTGGAGCCTCGATATCTTTGCCTCTAGCCCCAATCTTTGTGTCTGCATGTTTCTTTCACTAAAAGGGATTTCTTCCAAATTTGCCTTCCTATATTTGGGGGGCAGATGTCTTTGTTTCTCTTGGGGCTCTCCCTCTGGGTTTACCCCAGCGCAACAGTGAGGCCCTTGAGGTTTGGACAGGGGGAGCAGGGCTTCCTTCTTGCCCCCAGAGCCAATTGCAAACCCAAGGATGGCCAGGCCGTGTCAGGGCCCGGGCACGCCGGGGTCACTTCTCATTCTGGGCACAGGCTCCTGGTCGATGCCCTGCTGTTCGTTCCCCCTTCCAAACGGCCCTCCTCTTGGCCCCCGCCCCCTGCGCCCGCCTGGAAAAGGCAAATTTGACATTTTTAAATCCCGAGCCTTAGAGGGATCGATGCGGCCTGAGGGCCCCGCCCGGGGTCGATATTCCTGATTGGGAAGCGGCCGCTGCGCAGAGCCCGCGTGTAAATCACCCGGGCTGGGGGAGGGAGCTCGGGGAGCCTACCGCGTCCCAGGGTCTCGGAGCTAGGTGCGGTCGGGGCCCGACCGGGACCCGAGGGTGACGGAATGAGAACCACAGCTTTAAAGAACCAGAGGGACGCTCGCCCAGGGCCTCTCCCCTCCCCCGCATAGCCCTGCCAACTCCCCTGGCCGGCACCGGTCTCGCTTCAGCGGCCGCCACCCTTCATTGCCCCTGGAGCCGCCGGGGAGGCCGGTGTCGAAGCCAGCCATGCGGCGGCTCCTCTCCGGCCGCTCCCGCGGGGCCCGGGCTTCGGCGGCGGCTGTCACGGAGCCGACAGGCCGGGCGGACCAGGAAGGGGCGGGTGGCGGGGGAGAGGCGGTGGGGGAGGCTGGCTCAGCTTTGGTGCTCAGTGTAGGTGCGCAACAGATGTTTGAGGAATTGAGGGATCACAAGGTGGCCTGGAACACCAAGGGACACGGGCCCGGAGCGAAAAGGAATGGGTGCGGTAGGAGGCGACCCTGGTCTAGTGAGGATGAAAGGCTGGCATACCAGCCAGGTTAAACAAGCGTTCTAGGACACCGGGGAGGTCTGGGTGCAAAGAGCTAGAGAAAATGGGGCTGTCAGGGAAGTTCGGACGACACCTAGAAACGCTTCCTTCTCCCCTGACCTCCAATCCTTGTCTCCTTATGTGGGGAAATCGAGGCAGCCAAGGCCGAGAAGGTCCAGGAAGGGGAAAGCGGGACTACTGGCGAGGCTAGAGTAGTAATCAGAATTCCCTCGTGGGTCTCTAATCACCCGGCCAACCCAGATCCAGTTGCTGGTAAATACACCACCACGCCCCCCACCTCCACTCAGACCCTCGCCTCCCGCTTCAGCTTGTCAGATCCCCCCACCTCCCACCCCGCGCCAGTTTATAGAACAACAATTTGGGGAAAACAATCCGGGCCGAGTGACGGCCCCTTAATTGTGACAAAGTGAGTGCGGGCGGCTGGAGAGAGCGCTAGGGCGGGAGCGCGGTGGGGCGAGGCGCAGGCAGAAGCGCCTCTCACGCGCCCCGCCACCCCCTCGTTCTCATTCTGGTCACCTCCCATCCCTCTCCTTGACTCTTCTCCAATTCCTCTTCTCTCAGCCCCTCGCACCTCCCTTCACTTGTTCCTCCATCGCTCTTCCCTTTCCTTTAGGTAACAGATCTTCTCCCGCTTCCCATCCCCCGCCGCCCCTCCCCCGGTGCGCTGTTTCCTGGCTCACTTCAACCTCTTTCCTCCGCCCTCTACTCTTTTCTCCATCTTTTCCTCGCTCTCATACTGCCCTTGGGTCCCAGTCTCTCCCAGCACAATCCGCTTCTCTCCCTCCCCTGTCCTCACTTCCTGAGATGAACCCCGAGTTCCCCCTACCCCAACCCCGAGAGGCCAGCGCAGCCCTACACTCCTGGGTTCCTCAAGCAGCAGAGTTAGCTGCTCCCTGCGCCCAGGGAGCCTGGGCGGCCATCCCCTTCCTTCCCCCTTCCACAGCTATGGTCCCCACCCCTCTTCCTGCGCCGCGAGCTAGTTTGTTTGTCCAGCGGCTGCCGCCGCCGCCCGCGCTGTTTGCCAAGATTAGCGCGCCGCGGCGCAGTGCGGGCCCAATTAAGTCTCATTCATTATTCAGCGTCCAGTCCTCCCCCGCCCCCAGCGCGCGTCTGGGGCTTCACTTCTCTGTCCCTCCCAGTCGAGGCCCCTCAAAGAGCCCTGAGGGACCATATAGTGTCTCCCGGGGTAAAGGTTATAAGGACTAGGGGCGGGGGGAGGCAGGTGGGAGGGAACACATCACTTTGCCTGCAGCTGGGAAGCGACCCGAGTGAGGCTTACAGGGCTCCGCCCCTCCATCGAGTCAAAACTGGGAGATCTTAGAGATTCAAGCTCCCCCAGTTTCTTTTTCTTTCTTTCCTTCCTTCCTTTCTTTTCTTTTCTTTTCGTTTCTTTTTTCTTTTTAACAGAGGAAGAAATTGAGGCCCTAGAAGAGTCATGATTTGTCAAGGTCACGGTTTCCTAACGCAGAAATGGAGCCCGGGTCACTGAAAGGAAGTCATTTCAGCTCCATTTCGGAGCAGAGGTGGAAGGAAGACGGATTACTTTTCCCCCGAGTCCTGGGCTGTGGCTTTGCTGACTTGCTGGGGCGTTTCTAACCCTCTATTTTTGTCCTGATTCTCCCTCACCCATATATAACTGGCGGGACAGAGCAACCTCGGGGCTCCCAGTGGATCCAGAGGCTTTTCGGATTCAGGCCCAGGCTCAGGCCTTTACGTATAACCCCCTATCTGGAAGGCCTGAAGGCAAGGCACTGAGAGAAATTTTTGTCCTTCCAACCTGTCGGTGGTTGTCTCTTGCCTTAGAGGAACTGGAGGTGGAACCATCCAAGGCAGTCTTGAAAGGCAGCAGAGTGTGATTAGAGAAGTGTGCAGCTTGAGGTGAGGAAAGGGTCACTTTCCACTGTGAGGATAAGAAGATGCAATCAAAAGCCTGTTTTTTAGCAGTACAGATGGAATCTCCTCCTTGCTCCAGAGCTCTGAGCTGCCTGCTGCACCCCAGCCTCGCGGCAAGGTGAGTCTGGAATCCTCCTGGTCCGCCCTTCCGTGAGCGGCACCGCCACCTGGCGGTCATAGCGTGGTGCTGTAAGAAGCGCGCTCCAGCTGAGATGGGGCGTGGGGCCAGCCCCTAGAAGGCGGGGTGAGCCTGGAAAACTGAGTGTAAGCGAGAGGGTGGAAGATAGGAGTGTAGGGCGGGCAGGTGATTTCGAGGGGGCTGGGACGGCCTTAGGGAGGGGCCTAATCCCAGACCTCCGACTTCCGTGACATAGAGGTCAGAGACAAAGTCCACTTGGATGGAAGTGGGAGCAGAATGAGAGGGGCCATTTTGATTCTGTGGTTGAAGAAAATAGCTGATCTGACGCTGTCTGGGAGCCGGTTCGGCCAGGTACTGCCGCCCCACCTGGGTCTAGCGGTGCTGGCTGGGGGTGACAGACTGGCAGGTAGCTTTGGCATTGGGTTTGATATTCTGAAAATTTGCCTGGTGGCTTTGGACATGTCTGCCTTGGAAGGAGGTAGTTGAGTTGTGAGGTGCTAAGGTATAAGTCAAAATGTTTCTCTGAATGTTTAAGTGGAGGGAATTCAGGACCCCGTTCGTGGGAAATTTTTATGTCCTGGAGAGATGGGAAGGCTGGAGAGGAGCTGAAACCTGGGCCAAGTGACTAAGAGCATAGTGGAAGTTGGGGCTGGGAATGGGGACAGGGAGAAGGTTAGGCAGGGGCTTTACAAATGTGTGGCAATTTTGGAAAGACATCCTGTTCAGCCCTTTCTATCCATACTACTCTGCTGTGAGTCATTCTCCAGGTCTGAAATTTAAGCTTCTGCTTTTTCATTCCTGCCCTGAGTTCTCAGTTTCTCAACCGAAAGCATTTAAAACATTTTTTCCCTTGAATTTGTAGTTGTCATGGTTATAAAGAATAGGACTGAGGTATTGAACAAAGGGTTTGGGACAACTAGCATTTCAGGGATACTAAGGCAGATCTGGACTCAACTTTTACTGAAAAGAGAAATGGGACCTGGATATAGTCTTATGATTCTTTTTTCCATCTCTTAGGGTCTAAGGATAATTCTGAGGCTATGATGGGCATGATTCCCATAGAAGACCTGAGATTTCTGCACTCTGAGCAATATCAAATGCCACTGGATTTGTTCTTGCCCTAGAGGATGGCGAAAGGGCTCCTTGTGACCTATGTCCTTTGGGCTGTAGGGGGCCCTGCTGGGCTTCACCACCTATACTTGGGAAGGGACAGTCATGCCCTGCTCTGGATGCTTACCCTGGGGGGAGGTGGGCTGGGCTGGCTCTGGGAATTCTGGAATCTCCCAAACTTTGTAGCTCAAGCCAACAGAGCCCAGGGACAGAAACAGAGCTCAAGAGAGGGGATACCCCCACTGAATCCCATTCGCTTTTTTGCCCAGATGGTAGTGGGCATATATTTTGGCCTTGTGGCTCTGATTAGCTTTTCTTCCATGGCCAACTTCTACATTGTGGGCCTCCCACTGGCAGTTGGCTTAGGTGTCTTGCTGGTGGCTACTGTTGGCAACCAAACCTCAGACTTTAAGAACACTCTAGGAGCAGCATTTCTTACTTCCCCTATATTCTATGGCCGCCCCATAGCCATCCTGCCCATCAGCTTGGCTGCCAGCATCACAGCCCAGAAACATCGTCGCTACAAACCTTCAGTGGAGTCAGAGACACTCAGTGTGCGGCTCTACAGGCTCGGTTTGGCTTACCTTGCTTTCACAGGCCCACTGGCATACAGTACCCTGTGGAACACAGCTGCCACTCTCAGTTATGTGGCAGAAACACTTGGCTCCTTCTTAAATTGGTTCAGCTTTTTCCCCCTTCTTGGCCGCCTTATGGAGTCTGTCCTCCTTCTGCCTTGCCAAATCTGGTGGCTATTAGTTGGGGATCCAGGTATCAACAACTGCTACTTCCAGGAGTGGGAGAAGTTCTATGAGTTTGTTCACAGTTTTCAGGATGAGAAGCGCCAGCTGGCTTACCAGGTAAGGCTTTCTTCCCTCTCATTCCAACCTGGGTGGCTCTGGGAGTTAGAATAAGCCTTGTTGGAGCTGGTGCCCTCCACATGGAAGTACTGTTCTTATCTCAGATGGCCAGGTCCAGGAAAGGTGTCCTAGCTTCTTTGGAACACTGTACATTGGGCAAAGGTACAGGACACTAGTAGTGAGTGAAAGAAATTTATGTGTATATATTTACTTTTTATTGAGGTATAACATAATTGAAATACACTATTTTTATGTATAGGCTGCTCAGATCAAGGCATGGAACATTTACAGCACTAAGAAACTTTTTTCATTCCCCTTCCCAATCTATACTCCCACTTCAAAGGTAACTTTTATTCTGACTCCATAACCAAAGTAGGTTTACTTTCTTTTTTTCTTTTTTCTTTTTTGTTCATTGGTTTGTTTATATGCTGCTAGGGCTCAAAAACAGGGCTTTGCAAAAGCTAGGAAAGTATTTTATCACTGAGATACACCCACAGTCCTATCACTACACATCCGTTTTACCCATGTCCCCCTTTTGTTTTGATAGTACTGGAGATTGAACCCAGGGCCTTGTGCAAGTTTTGCCCATTCTTGAACATCAAATAAATGGAATCATCCAATCTATATTCTTTTTGTTTGTTTGTTTTTGGAGTATTGGGGATTAAACCCATGGAACCACATACCCAGCCCTTTTTATTTATTTTGTGGTACTGGGGATTGAGCCCAGGGGCACTGAGTACACCACAGTTTATTTATTCTATTGTTAATATTTGGGTTGTTTCTAGTTGAGACTATCATGAATAAAGCTCCTACAGACATTCTTTTTTTTTAATATTTATTTTTTTAGGTGTAGAGGGACACACACAATGCCTTTATTTTTATGTGGCGCCGGATCCTGCCCATGCTACGCAAGCGGCTCTACCGCTGAGCCACAATCCCAACCTCTAGACATTCTTATACATGTCTTTTTCCCCTCTTCTTGTTGGGAAGAGATCCTGTCAGGGATGTGAAATTCTAGGTTGGAAAATGCAGCTGTGGTTAAAGGCAAATCCTGGCTCTGCAAGATACATAGCTTATTCCATGTTTCTGAGTTAAACTTCCAACCCAAAAACTTGAATTCTAATCTGAGGTGAACTGCTCCAGAGGTACTAATAGCCTGATTTAGCAAAGGAGCAGCAAGAGACCCATGTACAAATTGTGAGATTCTAATTTGTCAGCTTCTGTTTCCCTAAGGTTTTGGGCCTCTCAGATGGGGCAACAAATGAAGAAATACATCGTAGTTACCGGGAGCTAGTGAAGGTCTGGCATCCCGACCACAACCAGCACCAAAGAGAGGAGGCCCAAAGGCATTTCCTGGAAATCCAGGCTGCATATGAATTTCTGACTCAGACCAAGAAGCCCAGAGGATCCCAGAGGTGAAAATCAACTTTCTTGGAGAATGGAGTCTTCACAGCAGAGCGGGGCAGCTTATCCTAAGTCTTCTTTTGCCCATCTGAGGTATCCCAACAGTGTTAAAAAAAAAAAAAAAAAAAACTGTCTACTTGCAGTGAAGATGTGGAAATCTTATAGGGTTGAGAACAATTGTGGTAGAAAATACATTTATGATCTGCATTCTTGGTTATTGTATTTATTTATGGTACTGGGAATTTAACCCAGGGGCACTTTACCCTGAGCTACATTCCCAGTCTTTTTTATTTTTTTTTATTTTTATTTTTTCAGTGAGAGAGAGAGAGAGAGAGAGAGAGAGAGAGAGAGAATTTTTTAATATTTATTTTTTAGTTTTCTGCAGACATAACATCTTTGTTTGTATGTGGTGCTGAGGATCGAACTCGGGCTGCACACATGCCAGGCGAGCACGCTACCGCTTGAGCCACATCCCCAGCCCCTTTATTTTTTATCTTGAGACAGGGTCTCACAAAGATCCTGAGGTTCACACTAAGTTGCTGAGGCTGGCCTAAAACTTTCAATCCTCCTGGCTCAGCCTCACAGATAGATCACTGGTATTATAGGCCTGGGCCACAATGCACAGCTGCTATGGTATTCTTGACTACATTTGCTTAAAACCAAAGAGTGAAAGGCATATTATAAAGACAATAAAATACCTTCCAAAGGATCAACCACCTTATCCCACACCTGGTACATTGATGTATAGTGGAGAAAAATCATTTGACTTTTAAAAAATGTGTAAAAGCACTGGGTTAGAAGATTGAAGGAAGGGCTAGGGTTGTAGCTCAGTGGTAGAGTGCTTGCCTAGCATGTGTGAGGCACTGGGTTCAATTCACAGCACTATATGTAAGTAAAGAAAATAATGGTCCATCAACAACTAATAAAAATTTTTTTAAAAAGAAGGTTGAAAGAAAAATATGAGAGTTCTAATATTTCATAAGCTGTCCTGTGACAATAGGGATTTGATCTATCTGTAGATTACCAAGGAGTAAGACTGAGATTAAATTTCAAAATCTGAAAAAAAAAATTTCATTTACAGAAAACTTTCTACAACTATACTTTTCCCAAAAGGAACAAGCTGCTGCAGAAGGGAAACAGTTCCTCTGCTTAGAAAAATATTGTAGAGATCCCTCAAACTTTACCTGAATGGTTGGACTAGCTGAGTTCTTAGGTCTTCTCAACTCTTGAGGTCTGATTTTGAGGTACACACTCTGTTCCCAGGACTTTACAATCTGATGGGGTATTATGATTTAGATAGATGGTATCCCCTGAAAGGTCATGTTAAGTAATGCAGAAAAATTTGGAGGTGAAATGATTAGATCATGAGAGCTGTAATTTAATCAGTGGATTAATCCATTTGATAGGTTAATAATTTGAATGGAAGCCAGGCATGGTGATGTATGCCTGTAATCTCAGCGATTTAGGAAGATGAGACAGGAGAGTTGCAAGTTAGTGGCCATTCTCAGCAACTTGGAGACCTTAGGCAACTTGTTGAGACCCTGTCACAAAATAAAAAGGCTGGGAATGTGGTTCAGTGGTAAAGCACCCCTCAGTTCAATCCCCAGTACCAAAAAAATTTGGCTTCCAAAGCCTATTGATAACTTGCTCTTTTTTGTGTATGTGGTACCCCGGACTGAACCCAGAGGGCGCTTAACCACTGAGCTATATCCCCAACACTCCCAGTGGCGCCCCCCCACACCCCCATCCCTCCCCCCCCACCTCCCACACCGCTTTTTTTTTTTTTTTTTTTTTTTAAATTTAGAGACAGGGACTCTCTAAATTGCTTAGGGCTTTGCTAAATTGCTGAGGTTAGCTTTGAACTCACAATCCTCCTGTCTCAGCTTCCCAAGCCTCTGGCATTGCAAGCACACACAGTGCCCTGCTTAAAAAATTTTTTTTGGAATGGATAACTGGGTGGTAACTGTAGGTACAGTGTGGGTGGAGGAAGTAGGTCACTGGGGGCATATCAGTTGGGATTATGTCTTGTCCCTGGCTCCTGCCTGGGCACTTTCTCTGTCTCTCGCTCGGTCTCTCTCTCTGTCTCTCTCTCTCTCTCCCCACTTCCCAGTTACCATGAGTTGAGAGCTTTCTTTCACCATGCCCTTCTGCCATGATGTTCTGTCTCACTTAGACCCAGAACAATGGAGTCTGCCAACCATGGTCTGAACCTCTGAGACAGTGAGTACAAAAAGACTTTTCCTCTTCTAGGTTGTTCTTTTTTGGGGGAAGTGTTAGTCTTTAAAAAAATATATATATATATTTATTTATTTTTATGTGATGCTAAGGATTGAAGCCAGTGCCTCACACATGCTAGGCAATTACTCTGCCACTGAGCTATAGCCCCAGCCCATCTAGATTATTCTTGTCAGGTTTTTTGATCACAGCAATGAATCTAACTTACACATGGGGAATGATAATATAGGTACATAAATATTGAAGTCTAGGTGTTGTAGGGACAAACGAGGCAAGGCACCGAAGATAGCAGGAAATAGTTTTATTTGGCTGCAGCCAGGTTCAGAGGGCACAGCTTTTGCTGTAATCAATTAATCCCCTGAACCCCAAGTTCAGGTAGTTTCAGAGTTTTATACCCAGCGTGTAAGGAGAGGTGCTCAGAAGTTCAGTCTGCAGAAGGTTCACATAAAAACAGCCTTTTCTTTCACTGTTCTGGGCAAGTCAACTCTTCAAGGACAACACCTGAGAAGGGGAGAGCTTCTCCCCTTTCTTTCCTCCCCCTGTCAGCTGTTACCATGGAGCCCAATTGTAACTTATCTTAAAATTGTAGACATCTCTGTGAAGCCCAGCTCAAGGCCAGAGGACTTGTTTGCACATTTCTACAAAGTACTATACTTATGTTTGTGAAAAACAGTAAGGGGTGTCCAGCACCTAGAGTGCTGGTGTCTTTTCAGCCAGTGGCCAGGTAAACAGGGCGACACGAAAATAGAAAGTTTATCTACATTGGACTCTTTTACAGAGACTCTTTTGCTGACAGTCCTAAAATCAGCCATGGTGAAAAGGGCCTTTCTGTGGAGAAAGGGGATGCCACTTCATAGGGGCTGGGGCTGTAGCTCAGTGATAGAGTGCTTGCCTTGCACTGCAAGGCACTGGGTTCGATCCTCAGCACCATATAAAAATAAATTAAGATATTGTATCCATCTACAACTAAAAAATATTGAAGTCTACCTTGTTCGGTATTTTGAATCAAGTATTATAAGACCTATAAATGAGAGGCTGGGGTTGTAGTTCAGTGTAGAGCACTTGCCTAGCATGTGTGAGGCACTGGGTTTAATCCTCAGTACCACATAAAAATAAAAGTATTGTGTCTGTTCACAACTAAAAATAAACAAACAAACAAACCATAAATGATGTATTGCAATACTGGAAAAGGAACAGATGATCTTGTTTTGTTTTGTGGGAACTTATGAAAACATTAATGATTTTATATCTCATTTGTCTTTGTGGGGACATTGGGGGAATTAGCAGCTTAAATATCTCAAAAGGAATTTATTTCATTCTATGTAACTGGCCAGAAGTAGAAGAAAGTCCACAATGTCTTAGTTTGCAGAAGAAGACTGGGGATCAGGGACATGTTAAAATTATGTACCTTTACTTCAGTCTTCTTGATCTTTTTTTGTGCATATGCATCCTTCACACTTTTTTTCTTTTTTGGTACCTGGGATTGAACCTGGAGGCGCTTAACCACTGAGCCACATCACCAGTCCTGTTTACTTTTTATTTTGAGATAGTGTCTCCCTGAGTTGCTGAGGCTGGTTTTAAACTTGTGATCTTCCTCCTTCTTCTGCCTCCTCAGCTGCTGGGATTATAGGCATGCACCACAACACCCGGCTTCATACTTTTTTCCTGGATATTAACTCTGGGTTATTTATTTTTTTAACTAGGGGTGTCTCTCAGTGGTAGAGTGTGTGCTTAACATGTTCAAGGCCCTGGGTTTGAGCCCCATTACTGGGGGAAAAAAAGTAGGATTATGTCCTTGAAGGAGCCCAGGGAAATTCATCCCAATATATGGCACCCTGGAATGCTGATTATTTTAAATTAAAAGCCCTTGAAAAACAGCAAATGCTGGAAGATACTTTACTTGTGATGCTTATTAATCTGCCCAAAGATTGCCCTACCAAAGAAGAAAAGAGTTAATTATCTTTGGTCCCTTCCCTGAGTTTTCATTAAATAAACTTATATTTGAAGGAAGAAGATAAAATAATATAACCACACCCAGATAGATTTTTGTCACAAGTTATTGTCAGTCTCCTAGGCCCATTAGATTCCCAAAGAGATAAAAAAATAAAAAAATTGAAAATTAATTAATTAATTAAAAAAAAAAAAAGATTCCCAAAGAGAGCCATTTACTAACTATTGTCTGAACTTTGGGCCCAGTTATTCACCTAAAATCATTTGCTATTCCTCAAATTGTCATCTTTCCCCTCCCTTATGAAGAAGGGCACATAAGCATCTGGACCTCACTGGGTTATTTGAGTAATAATGCTCTTGTGATTCTCCACTGTGCATATTAATAACTTATATAACTTTTCTCCTATTAATTTACTTATCATCAGTTTATTCCAGTGAACCTTCTGAACCTTCACCCCTCTATTAGCTAGTATTCTCTACAGATTAATAGGAAAAAAAATTGTTACTGGGCTTGATGGTGTGTGCCTGTAGTACCAACATTTGGGAGGCTGAGAGAGGAGGATGGCGTGAGCCCAGACGTTGTAATGCTGGAGCCAGGAACTTTTGGTCCTATGACAGTACTAATGAAACCAAGCCAAAGAGTACAAACACAGGCAAAGCTGAACAAAAGACAAGACTAGGCTTTTATTCTGGTTGCTGGGGTGGTGGGCTACTATCTGGCAACTTTTTACTGGTTGTGAGTGTGGTATTTTTATTTTCCAAGAAATTTCTTCCTTGTGAAAGATAGTTTACTCTTGGAGAGGTTATGGTGCCAATATTCTGACTTTTATGGTGCAACTGCTCTAGTGGCTTTCCTGGTCTTTACAATAAGATTGTTTAAAAATGTGGGTGAGGAGGAAAGAAAAGAAAAAAAAAAAAAAAGAAATGTTCATGTCAATTTTAAGGATTGACACAGGTTAGGGGTTAAGACCTCTAGTGTTTTTCTATATTTTCTGCATATCATTCTTTCAGTGAATGACCAGTAAGAGGCTAAGGCCAGTATGACCTAATCTTGAGGTTCCCCCATCCCCCTAGTCAACCTCAGTTTTTTAAAAATCTTCAATCCCAGTGATGATCCCTATCTGTCTCAGTTGGAGACCAGCCTGGGTAATATAGCCAGATATCATCTCTAAACAACAACAACAACAAGAAAGAAAAAATAGAAAATAAATTGTAGGAGGCTGGGGTTGAGGCTCAGTGGCAGAGTGCTTGCCTCGCACATGTGAGGCACTGGGTTCGATCCTCAGCACCACATAAAAATGAATAAAAAAATAAAGATATTGCATCTGTCTATAACTAAAAAATATTTTTTAAAATTGTAGATATTTTCTCTTAGCATGCACATATTAAAAAAAAATTAAGGCATGGTGGTGCATGTGTGTAATCCCAGCTACACAGGAGGATCCCAAATTCAAGACCAACCAGGACAATTTAGGGAGATCCTGTCTCAAATAATTTTTTTTATTTTAAAGAGAGAGACACAGAGAAAGAACTTTAATATTTATTTTTTTTTAGTTATCGGCAGACACAACATCTTTGTTTGTATGTGGTGCTGAGGATCGAACCCGGGCCGCACGCATGCCAGGCGAGCGCACTACCGCTTGAGCCACATCCCCAGCCCTCAAGTAAAATTTTAAAAAGTAAAAAGGTCTAGGAATGTAGCTTAGTGGTAAAGCACTTGCCTAAGCACATGTGAAGCTCTAGGTTTGATAATCAGTACTAAAAAAAAACTATTTTTAAATTTTGCCAAAAAATTCACTTACAAGGCATGATTTCAAGACCAAGTTAACTTGCACACCTTTTTAAAGTTGTCAAAAATTGATATACGTTTTGTTTGAAAAACAATGATTTTGAATTATTTTTTTAAATATCTTTTAGTTGTTTATGGATCTTTATTTTATTTATTCATATGTAGTGCTGAGAATTGAACCCAGTGCCTCAAAATGCTAGTCAAGTGCACTTCCACTGAGCTACAACTCCAGCCCTATCACAGGGAATTTTAATGAAGCATTTCATAACCTATTTTTGTACCATTATTTATTTATTTACTTTGATGTGGTGCTGAGGATCAAGCCCAGTGCATTACACATGCTAGGTAAGCCCTCCACCCCTCAGCTACAACTCCAGCCCCTTCAAAATATATTGATTAGTAATTTATTGACATGGTTGTACCACTACATCTGCAAATGTAAATGTATTTAAAATAGTGTACAAGAAAAAAGACAAGGAGTCATTAGGGGCTTTACTTGATTTGGAAATTTTTTTTAATTGGTTCTCCAATATTATTACAAAATTTTGTCACAAAAATATGGATATATTTTAATTTATTCAGATAGGCACTATAGATAAGCAGTTCTTATTTTTCCAACATGAACAATGCTACCATAAATATCTTTGAATATTTTCACTGATGCTTTTTTGTTTCTTTGAAAATATATTTCAAAAAGTAATAATGTGAGGTCAAACAAGGCATATTTTAAATTTTGATTCATTCTGTTTAAAGTTATTTCTGGAAAAAGGTGTGACAATTTACACAAAGTTGTGGCAAAGAAAAGAGAATAGTCTTTTCTTTTTAACTGGCAAGGAATGTTATCATTCTTAAATTTTTGTCAAGATGGTGGGTGAGAAATGGTTTTGAATTACTTTAATTTACATTGCCCTGACTCCTAGTGAAGTTGAGCATCTTTTCAAATATTATTTGGCATTTGCATTTCCTCTTCAATGTAGTGCCTACTCATATCTCATAGTCTCACTTTTTTTTTTTTTTTTAAGGTGCTGGGAATCCAACCCAGGGCTTCCTGCATACTAGTCAAGCATTCTACCTCTGACATAATACTCAACCCCATGTTTTTAAAAATTTTAATTGCGTTCCTATTTGTCACTATCTTACCTGTTTTGTTAATCCTTGCTTTTTAGAAACCTTAACCTATTGTAAAAAGCATTGTAGATATTTTCCCCCAGTCTAAGTCTGGTCTTTTGACTTTGCTCTGGGGAATCAAAATTGGCATTAGGATTGGAATCAGTTTTCATGGGATTTTCCTGGCTGTGTGATTTGACTTCCTTTAGCCACTCAGAGCCTTAATTTCCTCTAAAACTGACCTACATCCCCAACTTAAAAAAAAAAAATTATCTTTTTTTCTTGGAGGTGCTTAACCAGTGAGTCAGTCACATCTCCAGCCCTTTTAATTTTATATTTTGAACAGGTTTTCGCCAAATTGCTAAGACTGTTCTTGAACTCATGCTCCTAGGACCTGCCTCAGCCTCTGGAAATACTGGGATTACAGGCGAGAGCCACCCCACCTGCCTTAATTTTTTGTCTTTTGAGACAGGGTTTTGCTAAAACACTGAGAGTCTCACTAAATTGCTGAGGCTAGCCTCAAATTTGCAATCTTCTTGCCTCAGTGTTAGAAATAAAGAGGTGCCGAAAACATGTTCTCGAAAGAGGTTGGGCAAGGTTGACCTTTACTCTGGCAGAGGGCATGTTACTGGAACCTGGCTAGCAAGCGCACCTGGGCAGCAGGTGGTCTGCTTGTATCTAGAACCTACTGCAGCGCTGCCCTTCACTTTAATTGGAGGAGTTTGAGGTTACAATCTACGAGATTGGCTAATTTTAGAATTAGGGCGGGCAAAAGGGAAGGGCTACAATTGGATCCAATTAAGACAATACTAGATTTTGAAAATGAACCAGCAGACTTTCTATTTCAGCCTCTCAAATTGCTGAGATTACAGATGTGCGCCATCATGACAGATGATGTCATGAGCTTTCAAAGAAGAGTATAAAACAATCAAATATGACTGGGTGTTCCCTTGAGAAACCAGCCTCTACCTCAGAGCAAAGCCTGTCCAAGAAAGAGGGCATGACCCTTGTCCTTGGAAAGACCCACAGAGCACTCCTAGGCATATACCCACCCTGCTGAATTGTTCATCTACAAATAGCAGGAGCCAGGTGTCTCTGACTCAGTCAGGTTAGGTGAGGACCCATAGCAACCCCCGAGCAACCACCAATCAGCATGAGACAGGGAAAATACCTGGGATGCCAGATGACCCTCCCAGTAGTTTATGGTGGTTGATAACGTGTTGGGAAACCACGTAGTTCAGCATGTACACCCCTCGTGGCTTAAACCAATCAGTTCAAACGAATCCCCCTCTTGTACTAACCAATCACCCCTACCCAACTTGTTCCCGCCATTGAATGTGCTAATCAATGTTAAGAGTTGTTGTTTGATTTTCCTGCGGTATGGAATGATTTGCTGTGTGATGTTGTGACGCATAGAGTATCCCCCCAAAACCTATAAAATCCCACTGAATGAAGGACCAGGACTCACTCCCTGGGACTCACTCCCTGGGACTGCTGCGTCAGGAACGGTTGTGAGTCCAGGCTCGAGCTTGCAATAAAGACTCTTGTGTGATTGCATCGGATTCGGCTCCTGGAAGTGTTGGGGTCCCACGAATCTGGCATAACACTATGTTGTATGTGAAGTCCCTGCCTTCCCCAAAGAGTGTATAAAACTGCTGCAAACCCTGGGCTTGGTGCCTTTCAGCATCACCAGTTGCTGTGTGCACACGGAGGACCGAGCTAGCTTGCAATAAACACCTCTTTGCTGCTTTCGTGGATCTTGGTCTCTGGTGGTTTTTGGGGGGTCCCGAATTCGGGCATAACACCTTTCCACCTTCTAGCCTATGTAAGGAAATACTGTTATTTACTTAGTTAACAGCTGTAGAATGGACGTTCTACCAGTAAGACTAGAATTTTTCTGGAGTATTTAGGGTATTTTGTATTTAAAAAAAAAAACCTTGGTTTCCTGTAAAATACTCTATGAATGCTTGCAATTATTAGAAAAAAGTAAATAAATAAGATGGAGTTTAGTGTTGTTCATCTGTAATCCCAGTGATTTAGGAGGTTGAAGAGTTCAAGACCGGCTTCTTAACGAGACCTTGTCTCAAAATTTAAAAAATAAAAAGTTTAAGGAAATCACTGAATGAAGGAAATAAGGAGAGAGGAGAGGTGGCTTAACAATAACAGGTTTCCTGGGGACAAACCTGCAGAGGGGAGCCCAGTGGAAACTGAGACCCATCTTCCCTTTACAGCCTGGGGTAGATATAGGAGCATGAGGAAGTGGGGGAATTTTTGTGGTTAGGCAGTTGCTGGGGAGTTGTCAGGGAAGGGTCTTTGTGGTGATCACCTCCATTCTTTGAGGTGTTCACTGTTCCATGTTGAACCAGGTGTTTTCAGGATTCTAATCCCAGATAACAATTTCCTTTCTTTGTATGCTGATGGAGTATTGTCTGGGATTTAAGGTCAGGTTGAGTCAGAGTGACCCTAAGTGACTTTTGTTATAAGATGGAGAATATATTTTAAAATGGCATTTCCTGCCTATGTCAAGTTCTTCCTAAGAAAAAGGACTAGAGATGTAGCTCTGTTGTAAAATGTCCCTGGGTTCAATCCTCAGTACCAAACCAAAGAAATAAAAGAAGAAAGCTGAGTAGTTTAGTGGTGGTAGGGTTGCCAGTAGTCTCTGTCCCGCTCTCCATTCTTTCGTAGTTTCTCTTGTTTTATAATTAAGAAAAGAACATCCCAGCTATTGGTAGCCATTTTGGGGTGACTGTTACTGCTGTTTACCAGTGACGAGTCCTTGCTTCCCCAATGCTGAAGTATAACACCAGAGAAGAATGCTGAAGCAAGTTTAGAGTGGAAAATTGAAGCTTTATTAAAGGATAGCAGAAAAGACTTCTCCCCAGAAGAAGAAGGGGACCCAAAAGGCAGAATCCATTGAAGGGGGAGGTCTTCTCTCTTTTATAGCTAAGGTTTACTTTCAGATTTCCCTCATTCCTATCGCATGCATTCCTATCCAGTGTTCGGTTATCTTGCAGTGATGGAATGTAGGTGGGAAGGCCCAAAAGGTGGGGGACTGATGGGCCAGAGGAGTAATCTGGGCAGGAAGGGCTTTTTGATTAGCATCTCCTTGTTTGCTGGGAGCTGTTTCATTAATATTTCCTTGGGATGGGCTCTGGGCCTTGGGGACTTTTTCAATTCCCCTTTTCCTGGACTTCATTCTCAATATAGCCTTCATTCTTGATTTTACTTGATATTAGAACCGATTTACCTAACTAGACTAACTACCTATCTTTAAATCTGGCTTCATTAGAAGGGAAGTGATTTGGCCTTGAACTTTCAATCCTTCTGCCTCAGCCTCCTAAATCACTGGGATTATTTGGACATGCATCACCTTGCCTGGCTCTAGCCAATTTTTGAAAGGAAGGAAGTACGGGTAGCACAAAAATTATACAAATTTAGATCTTCTAGAAGGGCATTCTGATTCCCATTAACCCTAGGACATTATAATCTCAGAGAATTTGCTGGGGATATACTTCTCAAAGGATCCTAAATAATGAAAGTCAGCTGAAAGGAAAAATTTGGTAAAATAATTTTTAAAAACCTAATACATTAATAAGTGAGTTGTCCTTAATCTCTACCTTATTTGACTTCATGAAAGCCAATGATTTCATATTCTCCCACTCTCACAGATAAAAAAAAAAAAATCATAGAACCTTTAAAAAGTTGGAAAGGCTGGACAATAGTGTCATACATCTGTAATCCCAGCAATTTGGGAGGCAGGAGGATTGCAGGTTCAAGGTCCGCCTCAGCAATTTAGCAAAACCCTCAGTAATTTATTGAGACTCTCAAAAAATAAAAGAGCTTGGGATGTAGTTCAGTGGTAAAGGGAAAGTACCCCTGGGTTAAATCCTCAGTACCAAATAAGTAATAAAATATAAAAAGGACTGGGTGTGGTGGCTCATGCCTATAATCCCAGCAGCTCAAGAGGCTGAGGAGGCATAGCTGGGCATGATGATGCAAGCCTGTAATCCCAGCAACTCAGGAGGCTGATGCAGGAGGATCTTGAGTTCAAAGCTAGCCTCAACAGATTAGTCAGGCACTTAGCAACTCAGTGAGACCCTGTCTCTAAATAAAATTTTAAAAAGGGCTGGGGATTTGGCTCAGTGGTTAGGCACCCCTGGGTTCAATCCCCTGTGTGTGTGTGTGTGTACGTGTGTGTATACATACATACATATATATGACTGGGGAAGTAGCTCCATGGCAAAGTACCCCTGAGTTCAATCCCAAATACCAAAAAATAAAAATTAAAAAGCAAAAAGTTGGAAAAGAATTGAGAAGACCTCTACCTTGAGTACCATACAGTACAGCATCTTTGGAATAGCTTGACTCACAGATGACCATTTTCACTTTTGCTTGAATTAGACATTCCTCACAAGACCTATTTTTTTTACATCCTTAGTTGTAAAAAGTTATTTTATGGGGCTGATGAGGTAGCTCAGTGTTAAAGTGCTTGCCTAGCATGTGCAGAGCCCTGGATTTGATCCCTAACACCACAAAAAAAAAATTTTTTTTGGATGAAAATTTGATTTCTTCTAATTTCTTTCTAGAACTGCCATGTCTTGCTAAAAACAACAACAACAACAACAAAAACCCAAACCAAAAAAAAATTTCTTTTTGATAAGAACCTGCCTTTCATTTTAAATCCCTCTATATCTTCCCTTTCCACATTAAACACCACTTTGTTTAAGGAGGCACTGCAGTTGGTGGAATGAGGATGGATGAAGTTGTGATGGGATGGGACTCTACTTCTACTTTTTGTACTTGAAAGGGAAGTGACCACAACACTCAGAGCAACCAAGAGATCTTTATTGCAGCAGTGCAACAGAGGAGAAAAGAAAGAGGTGTGTGTGGGGGAAGCGCGCGCAAGAGAGAGAGAGAAAGCAAGAGAGAGAGAGAGCAAGAGAGAGAGAGGGGCCCGGCAGAAGGGAGTTTTTATAGCCCAAATCGAATAAGGTCTCTGGGTCTGCAAGCTGCCTTGTTGGCATAAGGGGGGGTTAATGTTCGGCCTTGAGCAGGGGGTTGAGTGTTCAGCCTTGAGAGGGGGCTTGGGCATTGGGCTTGAAGCAAATAGTTGATAAAGAACCAGACAGAGGGTTTGAGTGGCCAGGTCATCCTGCAGCTAACTTTGTTTGGCATGCCCTGCAGACAGCTTACTCAGCCTGTCCTGCACCTAACAGTACTGACTAGCCTGGTGACTTTGGATAAGCCACTTTTATCACCAAAGCCTCAGTTTCTTTCTTGTAACTGAGGGTGTTGGTCTTGGATGACCTTTAAGATTGCTTCCAACACTAAATTCTGTGATTCTTTTTGGCTGAGTCTTTGTGCCCCCCTCCCCCATACTGGGGATTGAACCAAGGGGGCACTCTATCTCAGCCCCCACACCTTCTTTTTGGTGTACCAGGGCGCCGCAGTCTGGCTGGGCACACAATCACGAGCCACCACACAGCTTGTAGATTCAAACAGCAACTCTTTATTCCCGAACTCACACCAGCCGTCTACAATCACGTTCTGGGGAAATCCACGTTCTCTGCCCAAATCCACTCCCACTGGGCTTCTGTCTCCCAAAAAATACTGTCTGAATCCCGTGAGAACTCAAGGGGAACTCAGGCAGCAGGATACGCCCTATTCCCAGCAGGAATAATCTTAAACCTTAAACCTGGAACCTAAACCGGGAACGCCCTAAACCCGATTATCTTAAACCGGGAACACCCTAATCCACCCTGGTCCTTGAGCAAGGTCACCTACATGCAATGTCACTGCAAAATGTCCTATTTCCACGAGTCCTTCCACTAAGCAACATGGGGTACGCTGGCAAGGAAATTGTCATACCTACTTGGCTAATGGCTCCCAGCACCAGGGATTGAACTCAGGGGCACTCAACCACTGAGCCGCATCCCCAGACCCATTTTGTATTTTATTTAGAGACAGGGTATCACTGAGTTGCTGAGCGCCTCTCTTTTGCTGAGGCTGGCTTTGAACTCTTGATCCTCCTGCCTCAGCCTCCTGAGCCATGGGGCCCCACACCTTTTATTTTGAGACAGGGTTTTGCTAAATTGCTGAGGCTGACCTTGAATTTGTAATCTTCAGTCCTCAGCCTCTTGAGTAGCTGGAATTACAGGTATGTGCCACTCACCAGGCTGCTGTTTAACACCAGGACTAGTGTTGTTAAATGGTTTAATTTGTTATCTTCTGCCTGCCCTGATGTGGATATTGTTTTGAAAAGACTGTATATATATATATATATATATATATATATATATATATATATATATATATATACACACACACACACACACACACACCTATCTATCTATATTTATTTATTTATTTTTACTTTTATTTTTTAGTTGTAGTTGGACACAATACCTCTTTTTTATTTACTTTTATATGGTGCTGAGGATCAAACCCAGGGCCTCACACGCGCTAGGCAAGTGCTCTACTGCTGGGCCACAACCCCAGTCCTATTTATTTTTATTTTTGAGATAGCATCTCACTATGTTGCCCAGGCTGGCCTTAAATTCCTGGATTCAAGTAGTCCTCCTGCCTGAGCCTCTTGAATAGCTAGGGCTACAGGCACACACCACAGTACTCAGCTTTAAAATAAAATACATTGCTTAAAGAACAATATAAAGAACATACCCTCCCCAAAGTTTATCTGCATCCACTATTTGTTTATTGTTATTATTATTATTTTGAAGATTAAACCCCTGAGCACTTT